GCGGAAAATGCCGTTGCCAGAGGTCGATGTTCCAAAAGGAGACAGAGGAGTCCTGTAAAATAGACTTTATTTGAATAAGGGGAGAGTCCACGGGCAGATCCCAGTGGGGTCTCTCAGTTTGGCTGGGGGACGCAGCCCCATTCTTATCCTAATTTCCCGGCCGCAAGTTTCCCTCCTCCTTTCCCCACTGGCTGAGGTACTCAGAGTGTACAGACTGCCCGGTACGCCTACTACATATCCCCCTCAACATGTACCCCCCTTCTCATCATACATCCCATGTCTCATTAACTTCATTTTATGCCTCCCCTGGGAGGAGAAGTCACTATGTATAAGTTCATTAAGCACGTGTACTAGTTCCCAAAGTTCAGAGGTTTAGGCTATGTAAATGTCTTGAGGTAGATAATCTAGGTTTGTTTAAATTCATTCAAGTCCTCAGGTTCTTCTTGCTTGGTTCTTTTTGTATGTAAAGTGGCCAGAATATCACCTTGGAACACTGGTGATTGTATCTCTCCACATAGTGTTTTACCCCCACTCCCTGCTGAGAAGATACATTCCCCGCTTTATCCTATCATATTCAACAGAACTATTTTAGCAGAATTGCCATTGAAGAAACAAGTATAGTCCAATGCCTGGAGAAAATTTTAAATCCAGCAGTGTAAAGAGAGGCCTAAGTGCCTGTCTTAAGGAAAGATGCATGTAAAGAGTCAGGAACTGCTTTGTTTAAAAGTCCTTTCTGCTGAATCCCTGCTCTTCCCAAGCTTCACTTTGTGAAGTCTGTTATGCCACTAGCTTTCAAATTTGGTAGCTCTACAACTGAGTATCATTTACCTTCAAAAGGAGCTAAATATCCTTAAAAGATTCGTGCTCTTGCATTTGAAATGAACAAAAAGCCTTCTTGGGCAAGAGAATGACAGAGGACAACTCTGCACCTGAAATGCTGGGGTCTGAACCCTGAGCCCCGAATTAAGGTTGACATATGGGTGATTCCCACAGCCCTTCATACAGAGGTGGTGAGTTTGCCTTATAGCTTCCCCCCAGGGTGCGGCCGGCCCTGCAGGGAGAGCCAGAAGGGAAATGAGCCCCAGGGGTCCCGCACTGAGTTGACAAAGGTCAGGTGTCTGCTTGGGGATAAAAGCTGGGACCACTGGCAGGGAGTCAGGAGTGTCTGTCTGTGGAGTGCACTCCCCAGAGCTTCCTGGTTCAGGGCAGACCTCCTGACTCTCCCTGGAGCTGGGCCCCAGTCTGTTTAGACCTTTGTGAACGCGGACCGATCGGGTGAGAGTTGCCATGTGGGCACCTTTCTCTTATATGTTTAACTGGCTGGTCTGGCTGTTTCCCATGCCAACTGTGGGCAACCTCAGCTCACTGTTTGTACCACCTGTTGTGGGCAGAGTCACATCTTTTGTGGGATCGTTGGGGGTGGCGTCGATTATGTACCAGCTGATTGACTTGTTTGTACCCCCAGCAATCATTCATGGAATGTCCTTTTTGTGTACAATACAGTCTGTGTATTGGTTCATCTTCCTCCTGGCTGTATCATTCTTGTTGGGCCTGGTCACTGGCAGAACAGCACCTCCACCCATATGTCTCAGATTGCTCTATCAAGGGGTTACCTGCTTCTGAGTCTGTCCGCACATCCACTCACATGAGTGGGTCTCCCAGAGTCCCACCTGGAGCTGAAAACTATGCTGCATATAATTAAGCAATACAGTTGCAGAATTCACAACTGAAGTGGTAAGAGAAACACATCCCCATCATCTGTAAGCTTGTGTTCTGCTGTACCTATTACCTCCTTCACCACATTTATGCCACCCTTTGTTTGAGATAGACTCCCCAGAACCCTGCAGACTTGCACTTTACTGTCTTTTGGATATCCAAAGCTCCCACTCCCTGTGTTCAAGACAGCTTTGCCTCTGAGGTGCTGCAACACAAAGAAGTCTTTTTCATTAGAAAGCTGTATGCAGAGGCTTGGACTAGTCTCCTCAGCCTCCTCCTTTGTGAAGTAGTACTTTGCACAGTGAAAAAGATGGGTTTTTTAAAGGAGATTTGTTTAAACATGAGTAAAGAAACTCTATCAATGAATATTTTTCCATCACACTGCATGAAAAACTGTTTACCAACCTAGCTTATACTACAGTGTTTTTATTAATAACTTTCAGTGTACAAGTTTCTCTAAACATCCAAGCACTTTCTAAATGTACATGTGACATCAACTGTTCAGTATTTTCTCATACCACTTGACCATACATAGTCTTCTTGGAATTGGTCAAAAATAGCAGCAAATGTCACATAACGAAAGAAGTTTTCTTGGATACTCACATCAGCTGTAACCACATGTACGAAGTTTTCCTTGAATTTGGAAAAAAAACCATCACTAAGCACCCTAAATAAAACACATTATCTGCCCTATCTGGAGAGAACAAATTGTATGACATACATGTTCACGACGTATCAGATCCATGAACACAACCATTGATCTGAGCCTACATAGCCCCATAAAATTACAGACCCCAGGACAAGCATAAGAGCCCAGATTTATAATATCACACACAAAAAACCATATCCCTTATTCTGATTTTCCCTTAGGTCCTCACCACTCAATACTGCAGCTTAAAGCATGAATTTACTCTTACCCCTTAGCTTCTAGATCAGAGCAAACACAAATGCTTATAGGATGAAGACACAAGACTGTAGGACTTCATTCCTTCCCATCAGCTTCATATAACGTGCACCACAAGTGCTTGCCCTTGACTTCAGTTTTCAAGGCAACTATGCAACACTTATTAGCAACAATAGTTAGCTTATAATTTAAAAGTATGCATTTATTTCAGAGCTACTGTATTTCTGATCTAAAGTTTCACATCCATGCTAACAGATATTTAAAATTCCCTTCTGACAGCTTCAGTGTTTTCTTTATCACCCTTTTGTCTTTGCTTTCCTACCATCGTCATGAATGCAACTCCTGCCCGTCACAAGCTTCTCTGCATTACTCCCTGCGTGGAGCAGTGCTACTTCCAAAGCAAGATGCATCTCCCAGGCCTCATATTTACAGAAAGCACAAGCAGGTGGGCAGAGCAACTTTGAAGTTCATGCTTATTTTTGTGAACAAGCCCAACTTTGACCTCTGTATAGACAGCACTTGGCCCAAACCAGCATATTACAGCTCAAAGAACTTGCAGTGCTGTTTCCCATAGGCTCTGAGCATGACTAGAGCAAACTCCTGTCAACCAACACCACATGACATGGATTTGCCTGTCAGCAGCACACAAAAAATTGGTCCCAATAGCATCAATTAGAGGTTTTGCCCAGTAAACCCTCTTCCAGTTTTGTTGGAGGGACATAAGTTCAGGGTGGTTAGTCATCGTTCAAGGGCTTTGTTCAGCAGCTACCTTCAATGCCCATCTTAACAGGTTCTGTAACAAAGAACTAGAAGAGCTCAGGCATTTCCTCTCCTTAAATTACTACTGGATAATATGCTCTGGTTATAACAGCAGTAGGAGTTCCATGATCCCCCATTAGCAGGCACCTTGTCTACACTATTAAGCCATTCCCTAGAATGTTACAATCTGGAAACACTCTATTCTTCCCATAAAGGCTTTGTCTCTGCTGTATTTCAGCTCATAACTGTATTACACAATATCCTCAATCAAAGCAGGTAAGAGTTCCAAGTTAGTCCGGTTCAATAGGCTAGATAAAGAGGTCATTGGACTGCTAGTTTCATAGCCTGCATGACTTTAGAGTTAGAATGTGGGAGAGGAGGAAAAGGACAAAGAAAATTTTAGCCAAAACCAGACAAGGATCAATAAACACTTTCACCCTCTTTTCTTCTGTAGTTGCTTCCTACCACCCTCTCCACTCACTCAACATCCTCTGGTTGTGGGCTTTCTTAGACTCCACATAGTAAGGCATCAGATTTAGGGCTGAAGACTCAAATTTGTCCATCACAGCTATTCCAACACCTCCAGCAATAGACTGAAGTCATATTAATAAAAAAACTAATGTCTAAGAGAGAATGTAAGTTTGATAACACAGTAAATAAGATCTATGTTGATAAGACCAAAGACACTGCCACAGAGCAACAGATGCTGGGTAGCAGCTTAGCTTTCACCTCAGGCAATGCCACATATGCATTGAACCCCTGGCTGACAAGCTGCTTTTTAGCTTACAGCTCATGTTGAACCAGATGTACCAAAACCCAGCCACAGTAATAACATATTTCAGAATCCTGTAAGTATACTCAAATGTATCAAAAAATATTGAAAGACTGACAAGACCAAATACTGAAGTTTAAATGAAACATCACCATGTGCAAAAACTGTGACTCAGTAACTTTTAACAGGTTGGATGTCATGGCTGTTGTGAGAGTAACATCAGTACTACATCAGTACTACACTGAGATCACAGCATCACACCAAATTATTCTGTGGTTTTAACTATTAGATACAGACAGAACTCAGGATCTCTTAATACGGGGTTCAGGGAACAGATATGAACTAATACCTCCAAGTATTTAGGAAAGAAGCTCCAGTACAATACATCACCTATTTCTCATGTGCGAAGAGCACGCAGAGATTTCTTTTGTCTTTGCTGGCTGTCAGTGGAAAGTTATTGTGAACAATGTCTATTTTCAGGACTGACACAAGCCTGAAGGATTCCTATCACCTAGCAAAACTGACCTCAGCTGTTACATTTGTGCTTTTTTTGTGGACTATTATCCAAACCTACCGCACGTTCTTCAACACAGGCTGTTAAGCATGCATATATATGTGCACTAAATTTATTTCCCTTTTAAAATCATTACAACTCATTTCCCTATAAAGCAAGTACAGTTTAAACAAAACAAACAATACGCGAGCAGTTAAAAACAGACATTCTGCAGCTCAAATAAATACCAAGGAAAGATGGCTCTATAGTTCATCTGCCTGAAGGAGTCACATGCTTTCAAGCTCCAGAAAGTGTACTGAAAAGGAACTTTACACAACTTCTGTATGCTGACCTACCAGAGGATGATGGGTCCCATCCACACTAGTGCCAGACTTCTGTGTTTTCAGTACATCACCATAATCTGCTGCATCAAAGTTAGTCTTCCACACCATCACCTGCAGAAGCAAGTTATCTCTATTAAAATTTTCCATCTACTTTTGCTTAAAGGTTGATTTTGTCAACACATCAGAGAAGAGTCAGCAGATGCCCACTAAGTTTATCTAAGGTAGCTTTGCCATTGATTAAATTAAGGATGTTATTTGTAAGTATTCTACTGAATACAGACATAGCAGAAATGAGTTCTCAAAGGGTAAGTAACTGTTTCCAACATTCTTCAGGTCATGAAACTAGAGCTACCTAAAGAACTTCAAAGCAACAGGCAGAACACACCATCAAAACCACAAAATATATTTAAATACCACGCTTAGCATTCTAGCACTTAGCAGCCATACCCCAAACACCTAGTCACTGGTTTATCATGAGATTCATTCACAGGAAAAGGAGAGTTAGTATTTTAAGACTAGCATTAGAGATCTTGAGCTAGTTTGTCAGTCGAAAACCAAACTTAAATCCCACTTATAGGCATCTTCTCTCCATAATGCAGTATTTATTTTGGAAGAAGGGCCTCTAACATAACACCACTTTGACCTATCATGAGCAAATCTATGGATTAAAATCCTTAACAGTGCCTCTGAAAGTCTAAAAAAAAGTTTAAGAGCAACCAATCAACTATTTCAGTAGTCTGAAAGACACCTATGAACCCAGGCAGCTCATCTTGGTTATCAGAAGCAGTGTTCTTTCTTCAGTTAGAAGTTTTAATCCCTGCTTCATGCGAAAAAAGCATTTTTCTTTTGTAGTTGCATAGTTAACCAACAAGGCCATTCCACTGTGTAAAAGAAAAAAAGCAATGCTCTTTTTTTATATGGATTGACTCTTTGCAGACAGCAAAGGTGCTATTACAACCAAGATGGGCATTAACACCTAGTCTAACCTGGGGATTAAGTGCAATACAACACAGTTCCATGAAGACTGATGACAGAGAAATGGATACTTACTCAGACCACTCCTCTAGGTTGAAGCCTGCCCATGCCTTCAGCAGGGCAACCAGCACTACCGATGTTAAAGCCAACATGTATTTGCAGCACAGGGTGCAAATGGCACCTCCTGATTCCAGCAAGCTCACACAACAGGCATGTTTGCAGGTCAGTCATTAAGTATGGGTTGTTTTTTTTTCTAAACAGGCTACATGTCTAAGTTACCATACACACACAAAAAAATTAGTTTTAACCTGTAGAGGTGTTTCTGATTATTATTTCTCATATTTCTCCTGGATGCAGAATGCTAGTATTCAGCAAGGTCCATTCCACTGACAAAGCTTCTTGCATACACACAACTGGCAATTTAAGACTGATGCTGTTTTTGATATGTGCATATATTGTATGTTAAAGTTTTCACCACGCACAAAAAAGAAGCACTGCCTGCATTTTCAGACCCAAATCTAAGAGGAGAGGGGCAGTTCCTTCACAGGAGCTAAGAACAGGAAAGCCAACAGCCACCCTTCCCAACATGTGCTCAGAAACACGGCTGCCAAAGAAGTCAGGCCTGACTTATTGTGACCATGTCACACATGTACATTTACAAAGCACCTTTCTGGGGAGGTATTGCCATTCAGGGTTTCAGTTTAACAGTACCAGGAGATACCTTGCAATAAGCATTGCTTTGTTTAAAGAAATCCCTATCATAGGAAGGACAAAGGGAGCTGATAAAACAAAAGTATTTTAAAGGAATCTATGCAATAGAGAAATGTAGGCTAATAGATCCTGTTAAGCTAAAAATGAAACAAAAAGTCTGCTTCTTGATTATAACTAGAAATTGAGGAAAAATAAAATTTCTGATGATTTCTATTGAAAACAAATAAGAATGAATTGCTGTATAACTTCAACTACCAGCAGCATCAGGAGTTTTAGGGAAGAGAGAAACAACAGCAAAAAGGCATCTGTATTTCCTGTGTTAGATTAGCATTTCAGGAGGAAACCTTACTCTAGTGACACCAATATAATTTAGTAAGACAAAAAAGGGGATGCATCTCTTCAGAACAATCTGTTTAAAGCCTTTAATTAAAAGTGATCGTAAAGAGACAGTAGCGCAAGCTGTGCCACCTACCTCAGCAAATCTATAAAACATAGTTAAAATGCAGCAGCTCAGGAAACTGTCTTAAGTTACAACTTTTGGATTGCATTTCCTCCTCAACAGTATTGTTGAAAACATACAGTGCGTTAGGTACCCAGCAAGTCTTTTCAGAATGGTCCAAACACATCAGGTACGTTTTTGCTTTCCCTCACCAACAACAGAAAACAAACCCCAGCAGCTTTTGAAAAAACGTGCATCTCCATTATAACTCGGAACCAGAAGTAAAAGGAAGGTCTCCCCTCCTGCCCCAACTGCTTCAGCCACAAAAACCCTTTACCAACAGTACAAGATACCCAGGCTCTCAATCCCAGTGGACATATCAAGGTCACCAGATAAAAGTCTAACTCTGACCCAAAAAGCTGTGCAACTGCAGCACTAGCACAGCTCTGCACCAGGTTCCCATTAACAAAGAGGCCTGCAGCCTGCACTCATGCCTAATGACACTCAAACCCATCTGGTCTCAGTCACTGGAGATAGCTTAGCCACAGCAACTCAAATAAGACTGACAGACAGATCTGTGAGAGGAGGAGAGCATTAAGGACTACAAAATACCATAGACCAGTGGAGCCTGGAAGACTATTCAGGGGAAGCATCCCTGCCTGGTCCTTATGCTCGTGTCGCAGAACTAGCCAGTGGCAGATCAGGAGACAATCCCTCACCATAGCCCATCACATCCAGAGTATCTCATCGCAGCCATTTGTACACCCATCTGACTTATTCTCCAGCAGCAGAAGCCTCAAAAAGGCATATAACAAGGGCTGTATATAGGGTGATATTCCCCCTACTGTACATCCCAATTCCCAGATAATCCAGCTAAAGTGCCTCCTCAGTAAGAAAAGTATGTTTAAACCCTCTCACTATTTTTAATATTTGTTTTCTCTAGTAGTAAGATGCCGAGTAAATAGTAACAGCAAGGCAGAAAACTATCAGATTAAACTAGTCCCATACCTGTTCATCAGAACCTCCAGAGGCAAAAAAGTCTCCAGCTCTTGAAAATGCTACACAGGTAGCTGGTCCCTGCAAAAAGACAGGTTTAAAAGACATGAAATAAACCCAAACATTATAAAGCTCCATTTGTTACAGTTTTACAAGGTATTTCTCATTGGACATCAGCAATCTAAAAGCAAAATTAAAAAAGCTCTTATCTACTAGGTAAATGGGCCACAATTCACATGCTAAGTTTGCTGGCACTTACATATGATTTCCTACAGTTTTGCCCCCAGTTTAAGACATCCACTTTTCAATATCCATGTCATTAAGACAGACAGGAACAAACCAAGTTTTATAGCTTCATGCTTTTCCTTGTTCTCTCTTAATCATTCTCTCTTCCCTCTAGTATTAAGATATTTCTCAACCTCCTGTTCATTCATTAAAAGTAGCAAAACTGAGTTTTCCTAAACACAGCCATCTGTGAGCCACCTGACAGAAAGGTTTAAAGTGGAAATTTAAAGACACACACAGAGCAGCATCAAAAGTCACGCTGAGAAAGCTTGTTAGGTGTAAAATACACCTACTACTGACAAATCTAAGCATCCACAAATCATAAAGCACGTCCCATAAAATACAAGATTTTTAAAACAACTGTGAGGAGTGATGAATCCACCTTTCAGTGATTCAATTGCCAAGCCCTCAGAATCCACATTTTCCAAGCTCCTCCTCACTCCATGAATACTAGAACCATGAAAGGCAACTACAGTAAGCCAAGATTTTCACATAATCTTAGAACTCCAGGGATCCAAGCTTCAAACATCTTCAGTCTGACACAAGACAGCAAATTTCATGGGCTGCTGTGTGTACCAGCTACAGTACGGAAAAGTGTCTCTCCTCCACATGCTTTCCCCACACATGTTGAAAATACACAGCTGTCACTAAAGGACAGCATAAAACGCATGAGTGACAATAAAAATAGCCAACAGGTGGGGCTACAGGCAAGAAGTGAAGAAATCTTTTCTATCATAAAGGAGCAGGTGGCAGGAGAAGTTTGCTTGGTTTTGTTGGTTGGTTGTGCTTTTTACCATTATCACATGTTGTCCTATATATTTCTAGGCTATTCCGTATAAACTGCTCTCTGCAGAAGACCCAAGGCTTAAATCTCTTGCTTACTCCACCACAACGTAACTTCAAAACATGCTTGATCAACCCAAGCAATCAATTTGCATCACTTAATTTGGCCAAGGTTAAAAACATTTTAAGTCAAGAAACCTGTACAAACAGAATAATTGAACACGTAAAATTCGGTATTCAGAGCAGAATCCAATTACTCGTTTTGAGACTTTGCAGTCCAGAACCCCACAAAGGTTTCAGCATGGGAGGAAGAAAAAGCTAAGGCTACCAGAGAAGCAGTAGTAAAGAGAACAGGTCACTGAAGGGCAGACAGAGCAGCATCAGCAGAGCATACTGTACTGGTACACCAGCTTCTATCTACTGTATTTTGCAGTAACATCCAGAGTTGTGTAGGAGGCAGCTGTTCTATTTGGACACCAACTAGCAGGGCAAAGTCAATACAAGGGGGACATCCAAAGACATCAAAACAGACATCAAAAAAAGACAATCACTGCTTCACACCCCCTTACACGTGGAGCATGTAGCCAAGCAATGGCAGAAGCTTCAAATCAAACAGGCAGTTGCAGCAGCACAGGAGAAGGCAAGAAGCAGGCAGGCACTCCCTGCAACACCATCATTTGCTGGTTTTAAGCTCTAGCCTCATGATCTATGCAGGTCTGTGTTAGTTGTAACGGTTTTAACTCTGGCTTAAACTGTTTTTCTCCTAGTAGTTTTACAGAAGATATGCCAGTGTTAATGCACCCAGGATCACTTCGTACAGCACAGGTGCCTGCATTTTAAAGAAGTCTTTTTCTTAAAACAACCATCAGTTCAGAGAGACTTTAAATGGTGCTGACTGCTAAAGCACTGCTTGAGTAAAAGCATGCATTTCACACCACGCCTCTCTTTTAATCCATTTTCAGGCTTTCAGGAAGCACCCAGGAGGACACTTGCGTGACAGAGGAGGCAGGCACTGAGATGCAGTTCCACAGAGCTGGGAACTGTTACGTGTGTTCAAGCACAGGCATAACAGACAAACTGTTCCATTTAGAATAAACAGTTGAGAAGCCGGATTGGTGAAGTTTTATGTCAGCTACTGAACACGTTCCTTTGCAGACTGTCCTAAGCCTGAGCTTTTGGCCCAAGATGAAATAGTCAGAGGCAGGGACAAGCATTACCAGAGGCTGCCTATGGCCAAGTTTGCTGGGAATATGGCGTAGTGGTGACTTGGCAGTAGTGGGTTAACAGTTGGAAGAGACCTTCAAGACGATCAAAAATCCAACCTAATCCATAGAATGACTCTATGATTCTAGATACCTCTAAAGTCAAGCAGTTTCTCCTCACCCTATATCAAGTTGCAAGAACAGACTATTTTCTTAAGATGCCAACATCTTCCCAATGGGATCACATGGAAATCTCACATACAGTTTGTTTCTGGTTTCCCTTCTTTCTCTCCTTTCTAAAAGTGAGCTCATCGTTATAAATCCCAAACCCAGAGATTGCATTTGGGATAAGCACCCCACTCTCACTGCACCCTGTGTCCTGCAGTCCTGTGTACTTTCAAATAAGCTGGCACAAAGTTATGCCAGCAAATCTAGAGTCTTGATGTAGTCAATCCCAGTGTGAAAAGTTTCAGATTCCTTAAAACACATCAAAGTATTTCCATATTATCACTTCATTTGCAGTGATTTCAGAAAGTTTTGAGGTCTAATAGCAACATCTCACTCGAAAGATCTTGTCAGACATTACCTAGTAGCAGCAATTTCAACGTATATGTGCAGTGATTAGTGTGATTAAGCTTGTTCAACGAACACAGCAGTAAACAGTGCAGATATTTCAAACCAAAGACGTCACCATCAATCAGCTGAGAAGCGTGCTTCTGCCTTCTACTCCCACCCACCTTCCCCAGCAGTTCGGCTCTGACCACACTGTCAGGAACAGAGACTCTCTAAAAAATAAAATAAAATGCAAAAGCAAAAGACAAGTAAGCAGTAAGAAAGGGCAGAAGAGACAGGTACATGGCCAGAACCCTTTACAGTGGTGAATGCTACTCAGAGATAAGAGAGCTGGCCACAGTGAAGCTGCACTCTGTCCGAAATAAAACAGTCAGAGTCGGGAAGGTGAAAAAAAAAACCAGACAGCTTTCATTAAAACAAAGTGTTCAGGAACAAGCACAAGTGAGGAATACTGGAGAGGAGCAATGTCTCACAACATTATTTTTATCAGTGTAAATATTTCAGTGTATTTAGAACAATACAAATAACATCAAAACAGGCAAGGAACTGACTCCAAAGTCCTGGCATTCTGAAGGGAAAAAAAAAAAAATCAAGTTCAACAGAACATATCCCTCTCAAAATAGAAAATGATATCAAAGACTGAATGTGCCTTTATAAATTGAAAGAAGGGGAACAAACAAGTCTATAGACACAACATCCTCTACAGATTCGTTGACATAAATTAAGTGAAAAGTATTTTTGCTACATAGACTTTGAGCACTCTTCCCAGATATAACAGGTTTGCTATAGCAACACAGTAATAATAGTTTGCTAAATACTCTCCCAATTTCATATAAACACACAAAACAAAAATAAAAAGCTACACTTGTCAGTGATTAGACACAGCCTGATTCCCACTTGTTCATGTAAACATGGCAAATATCCAACAGATTTCTGATACAGTCCTGGACAATAGCTACATGGCTGGGGACTGAAGAACTCAAATTTTTCTTCAGATTTTTCCCCCCCCCTCTTTAAACTTACTGTTTACATTAAGTGTCAAAAAGCAGCAGTTGCATATTATTCTATATAAGTCGCAAGGAAATTTTTCAGGCTGTTTCCCATGCAACTGGAACATGTGTGATGCAGCAACCTCCTAAAGGACAACTTTATTCCTCTGTCTGTAGCAGGATACAAACGCCTTTCTACCTGAACTCCTGGGGGTACAGAAGCTCCAGTTCTGCATCCTCACTGTGCTAGGTACTGCACACACACAAGCTGCCAGCACCAGTTCCGAAATTCCTACAGCTTCTTGCCTTAGATGAAAACAGCAAGATGCAGAAAGGAATTGGACAATGAGATACACCAAGTCAGCAGTAAGGAACATTTCTATTGAGTCCTCAGCAGGCCAGCAACATGATGACTGCTGAGGTTTTGTGTATGTCAAACAGTTTGAAGTTATAATAATAATTTCAGAGATACCTGGAGAAAGTTGCAGAAAGTTTGATGGAAAGTACAGAAGAGAGTAAAAAGTTATCCACTGAGTGGGAAGAACATTGCCACTAATCAATATTCAACTCGCCTCCTCTAGTGAAAGAGGAGTACCAGGCAGGATGCAGATAAGCCCCAGGGAGCCTTGAAAAGGACAAATTGCTCACACTCAGAATGCAGCAAAGAAACTGGAAATACACATATAGAAAGGAAGCCATACAGAGAACTGATAACAGGATCAAGCCTAGCTCTTTGTAGCAGCATTCCCAATGAACAAGGTTTCAGACGAGGTCAGGGAGCCACACCATGGCAGCTGAACCCCACACTATGTAGGTAAGAAGGGTGAGGCACAGCATGTTATACAATCTAAATTATGTGCAGACTACCCCCCAGAGACAGAGATTATACCTCCTCCTTGTTTTCCTGCTTCCTACAGAAGGAGACTAGTGATCACAAGGCCTTTATTGCCCTAGCAATTCACAGGTTGATCAGCTTTCACAAAACGTTAAGTGTGGCCTTAGAAAAAGTTGTTCAGAGCTATTCTGAATGGCTTGAACACATCCATAGCCTGGAGATGAGATCCAAAGCAAGGACATAGATGACAACACTCAACAAGTGACTGACAAGATGCTAATAGCATCAGTAACAATTGACACAAGCATGACAAGAGACAACAGGAATACCATCCTTGAACACAAAGCTTTCAACAGGTGGAGCAAAAAATAGATCTCTCAAAAATAAATACTTAAGATATAAGGTCAAGAGTTT